AGTCCTGGCTAATGACAACTTGTAGATATGCTTACTCCATGTGTATATTACTTGTCATGTTGGTGATGCCTGTAAACTGGTATCCCTCGTGCACATAAAGTGAAATTATATTATTATATAGACTTAATATGGTTAACAAAATGCGGTCGGAGTGATTGTGCGAATTGTATTGGAGAGTTACCTTGCCTCATAATTTAGGTTCTGACCTTCATTAGTGGAAGAAGAAGATGCGGTTTAGGCTGTTTTTGGAATAAACTGAAATCAGGATATTACATAGTAAATTTGAGGATCTACTCAGTTTGCTTTCGTGTAGGATGAGATTGGTTCTCAGTGTGCTCTCGCAGAAGGTCGCAAGTGTTGTCCAATATGCCAGTAAGCTAGGCAGTTAGTACAAATGTACGGTTGATCAGTGTCGCATGCATTTTTGTTGTTTTGAAGTAGACAATAGATCAACAACTAACAGCTACTCTGGTACATGCAAGTATTGCATTAATAATATATATATTCTCATATAAACATATAAATTTACATGAAAATGCATGCCATTTTTACAGGCACGATCAAGTATGATATAATATCAAATCATAGATTGTCTACAAGTTAGTAATGTTTCAACAGTTAAATATTTGATATATATATAAATACACATTGTCTGAACTAGGCTGTATAGTTATTGAATTGTACAATTGTCCTCTAGGTTGAGCGGGAAAATCGACTTCGTTTCGTTTTCATCCCGTGGTTGTAGGCATACGATAACCAACCAATATTGAGGTAAGTACAACGTTTACAACGGATTGCAAGCTGTTTTTAGAAAAGTAAAAGTGCTAAGGTGAATCAATAAAGTGTAATGAAATAGGTAAGTGCAAGTATCACTAATAAATGCATTAATATAGAAAACTCCCTAGGCTGACAACGTTCATTTGCAATGTATGCTACGCGTATATCTGGTAGTATCATGATGTCCACTTTTGGTTTTAATACATTTTTTCCTTATGTCTGTTTTTTTATTTTATGCTTTATTTTGCATTTGGTGCACAACCGTACCTCAGAGAATAGAATAGAATAAGTCGAATCAAATTCATAAAGAGCTATAAAATGTTAGGTTTAATGGGATACAATGAGGATTAAGTAAAGACGTAATTAGAAAATGAATGAGATAAGACATTGTGAAGTGGTATTTAAAGATCCGACAATGGACAGCAAGTTGATTTATAAGATGCCCCATAAATCTGTGCACATCCCACATGGTCGCATCTCAACAATAGGCTGAGCGAATGGTATATTTAAAGGTAGAAGCATGATCTGTCAAGGCGTTCATTATTATCTTTTTCAAGATAAAGATCTAAGCCCTCATAAAAATCAGAAATATCTCGAGCCTTTAATTTGTATATTGCTGTTCCTGCAGAATGGGGCGATTCACCTTAGTGACCACCACCATATCTACTGATCAGCTAAGGAGACTGGTGGTTTTTATCCGAAAGCTACTTTTCTGTACTTAAGAACAGTCCTTATGACAAGCGCCCGTGTTGGATGAATTTCGCGAAGGCATAACTGAAATCGATACGACTGGTGAGTCGTCCAATAGCCGTCAATGACCTTGACTGAGTGGCCGCTACCGGCTGAAATAAGAATTATCTCTTGCAGTACACTTTTAGATGACCAAAGAAGTCCATCAAACTAACCGAACCTTCGATGGTCAATTGGTGTGTCTGTGTGGATTGAAACAGACGGTAGACAGTTGGGTTTTCGAGGAACACGAGCGCTACTGTGCACAATCTTTTGATTGTGTATCTCTGTAGTCCCTTCAAAATATCGTTTATGAATGCACCCCAGAGAGGCCGTAAGAGTTATATTTTCCCCTGTCTAGTTGAGAAGTTGAGGACTGCCTGAACAGCGGTTTGGACGGGCCCAGCTACGAAGTCTTCGAGTAATTGTGCCAAGGCTAAGGTCTAGCAGAGTAGATTACTACACAGCATTCCTGAGCGTTATTTCTAGTTGAAACGAGATTGAAGTCGTTCAGGCAGTGTAAGTAACTGATCTCCTGAGTAGTTCCGTTCGTCTGTTGATGCATAAATTATTAAGTGAAACGATAAGAAATAGAAATAAATTGGTGCCTTATGTCATGTACTAATTCAGGTGGCACATTGGTTCAAGCGATCAACCTCCTTATATCGGTGGAAATACATCACATGTCTTATTTTATTCCACTTCGTTTACTGACTGAAATAATGTATACTTCACATATGCTTGTATTCCTCTGAAACTTGGAGTAAAGCGTCACGTTCATCCAACCATATAATGCAAATTAAAGAGCCAGCTATACATCAGATTATCACTATAAACGTTTACTAAACTTTCATTTATGCTGCGAAACCCAACACATAATATTAATAAATGACATCTGATACTTTCAATTCGCTCACTATTCAAGAATATAGACAAGCAACATGAAACTTTTGGTGAGGCAGCAATATGGTGTGTTCCACTGATTCACGTATGCACTCGGAAACCATTTTACATCAACCAAGAATGCTCACTGGCCAACTGAAGGTGGCTGAATAGTTGGAAGCCCGTGTAAATCGTTCTAATTCGTCTAACCAGACTCAGTTCATTAAGCCAAATCAATGTGCACCGTGATGTTGAGCTATCTAGAGTGGCGGGCGCAATGCTAACTTGACTGACAGGATTCAGTCTGCACCAAAGAAAGGACTAGACGTGTGACACCAGTTACAAGTGTCCAAGGGCCAGGCAACAGATCGTTTATTAAGGAAAGTAATACGTATTTATATATATTTCATGTATATGTATGTACACCCTTATAGCTTGTTCAAGCAGACAAACGCAGTCTTCTGATTGGTTGTTTCTTGCTCAAGGTTATTTTGTACTGCTTGTGACTGGTTTCTCACAAAGTTAAGCCACATATCTGCGAATCGTATTTTCCTACGTTAAGTCTGTTGTGATTGGTTGTTGAATCAGTCTTGTTCATATTTTCTCACGGCCAATATCAGCGACCTAGACATTGACGCAAATTAATGTCTACTAGTTGGCTAGCAGCCTGCCCTCACCGCACAATCAAAAAAGACAAACTATATTAGGCCAGTAGAATTCCTGTCGACTACTTAGGTAGGGTAGTAGTACATAATTCTGGTTTACGATTAGCAAATTGTATCGGTGAACTTTGAATAACTGGTTGATCTGAGTGATCTTTAGCAGCACACATCAATGAAAGTTATATCTCGCATGTTTTTGTGGCCGCTACTAATCGTTGCTGGAGGCTGGCATAATATTTTCTTTAATATTATTGTCTCCTTTAGCTCCTAGAGGAACACTGGGCTTCAGCCGCATGTCTCGACTGCGTTCGGTTCTCTGTCAACGTTTGCACCAGGCTCCACGTCTACCCACAAGCTTTCATCTACTCTTCACATGACCTCCTCCATGTCATCCTCGCGCTGCCCACAAGATAGCCACTTCCCATTAGGGCTCCATTCGAGCGATGGCCTGGTATGTGATGTCATTGGATGGTTTGTTTTCTCAGGGTATGACCAATTCAGCTCCATCTCTTCCTGAATATTTGTTGCGCAGTTGGTTCCTGCTGTATTGGTTTGCCCCAAGAGATCCTTGTTGCTAATCTTCTCCAGCTATTTGATTTTGAGTACTATTCAGCGAAGACAGCGCGAGATATTTGGAAATCAACAATTTAATATCCATAGCACAGCATGGCTTTCATGCCTGTCAAATCTCCTCACTGGAAGAGAAAGCTGGGTCGAATCAAGGGACAGCAGTAGAACCGCTGACGTCGTCTTCATAGACTTCAGCATAGACTTCGATAAAGTTCCCCACGAAAGACTCCTCATGAAATTGGAAAGTCTTCGTATCAAAGGCAGATTACTAAACTGGCTCAGGGAATTCCTCATAGATAGGAGGCAGAGGGGTAGGACCAACTAGAAACTCTCCTCTTGGACAGCGGTGCGTAGTGGCAAGGCACGGTACTCGGACCTCTCCAATTTATATTGTTCATCAGAATTAGATAGCTGAAGGCCAGCAGTGACACGTCCACATTGCGAATTGTCAGAGGGGTCCATAGAATAGATGCTCCCTATCAATGTAGCGAAATGTGTAACCATGCTCATCGGGCAAGCAAGCGTCATCTCCTACGAGCTATGGGAATAACACTCCCATCAGTTCAAACTCATTTGGATTTAGGTGTCATATCAAGTGACGATTTAAAAAATACGGCACACTATCGCGCGGTGACTGCACGTAGTTTCAGATCCTTACGGGCAATAATCAGAGGTTTTACTAGAATCACCAGAGATATGTTCACCCCCTTATATACATCTCCGGTGAGGTCAAGACTGGAAAACAGTATCCAGGCAGCCAGTCTTTGTCTTCAAGGGGATTCAAAAATTTTAAAAAGAGTCCAAAGGAAGATAACACGTATAATTCTCGGCATGACTAGCTTATCATACGAGGGAGACTAGATAGTTTAAATTCCTTCACCCCGTCATACCGTAGGCAGAGAGGAGATTCACTTACAGTGTTTAAATTTTAAATAATGACTACGGACCTGACCTTTTCTCTCTTTTCCTCCGCACCAGGTCAGAACACCGTAGACGACATAGCAGGAGGGTTCAAAAGCCAAGAAGAAATCATATTGCTGCTGAGTACTGGTTCTCACATCGAGTCATAAACTCTTGGAACCGACACCCGTCTGCAACCTCAACTGGTTCATTCAAGAAGAGTTTGAACAAGCACAGAAATTTACCAGAAACAGATTAACATAGGTTCCAAGCCTTCTATACCCAACCAATAAACATGAGTATGAATCAATGAACTATAAATACAACATAACACAAACATCTGATATAATCTATCTTTAAACCCCATAAATGTTTAAATAACGATAATATAATATAAATAATATAATAACTGGTGAAATTTCAAGCTCACCGTTTGACGTTTTGTAATGAATTTAATGTGTCACTTAAGTTTGTTTCTTCACATGAATTTTGTTCGTCCGTTCAAGGTTGGGTGTAAAAGTATTTTTGGTTGTTTACATTTCAACCGTACGTTCTGTATGTATTTTAAGAGTAGGTGCTGTTGTTTTATGCATAGCCACTGATTTTACACGTTCGTAAGTGGATAAGGATGATGACAGGTTGAAAGGTGTTGTTGAAGTCATACCATTTACTGTGACTGAGACAAACATCAAAGCATTTCAATCTATATGAAGCTCCTTTGTGTGATCTCGAACTTCAGATTGTCAAAGTTATAATTTTTATGTTAAAATTATTGCAGTCGGGTAGCATATAGTTGCATTAGTATACTAATAGCCTTTGTTCTGAGAAGTTAATCAAGGATGAATTAGGGAGATTCTGCAAAATATTGATGGGTCCCACAAGATTTGTTAACATATTTCAAATCTATACTTGAAGTGATGACAAGCGAATTACCATTTAAAGTAAATTGAGCAGAAGTATGAGACGGGGTTACGTCGGTAAGTCTTAGGGTAGAACTGGGTATACCCAATTTCCTTAGGCTGATAGAAGAGTTCCAGCTCCTGAATTGCTGGCTAATGATGATTATTTTTATATGCTGCACTGCAGAATAGTTGTTACTAGCTAATTCATTTTTGCCATGCACTAGAAGTTTGATTATTTTATCACATTATTATTAGGTAAACGCGAGTTAGACATGTCTACTCTCTAGTGACTTGAAGCTGATGAAATATCTTGCTTTTGTTTATTAATGTGCTTTCATTTTATACTTCATTTTGGCGTTAAAGTTTATTAGTTAGTCATTCAAACATGGATCACAAACTCAATGAATTAACTGAAAATATTAAGCAAAGAGGTCGTGAAGGAGCTTATCCGCTATTTAAACAAACGGGTCCAGAATATGTGATGCCTAAGTTTCCAATCGAAAGAAAAGAAATGGAGGAGCACATATTAGAATTTAAATTAGCCAGGTTAGTGAATTTCAATGTTTAGTATTCTTCCTTCAGAAATATGCAGCCTTTTTATGTGCTTTTAATATGTATTGCGGTGTATGGCGAGTAAATACTTCACCTCGTATAAACGTTTGCTTTTTAAAATGTTGCTGGAGTTTCGTCTTTTGAATCAAACTCCAATATTCATATCTGAAAACCCTTGCTGTTTTACTAATTTTGAACTTGTTTACTTGAACATACTCCATCATGGAGGTTTGCATCTTAAAGTTTAATCTAAGATACACCGAAAGTTTGCAGGTCTTATGAGTGATTTGACACATCCTTATAATTTTTGTCCTCATATTGGGTGACGATTAAGTCTAACTAGTGGAAATAAGTCCACGATTTCCGGCCTGTAACTCTTCTCATATGTTTATTGCTTTTTGGCCGATCTTTCACTAATCACGGTTCATTAGGTATTTTCTCTCTTTCAAAACAGGAAAGATTTCTCAGCCTAATTTTAGCCTTTGAATAAAACTTTCAAACTCTGACTCACTGGTTTCAACATAGGACTTTGCACAGGTGTCAGTAGTTTCAAACTCCACAATCCAAGTAGCACACAAAGCAGGAGAAGAGAGTGAAGAGAGATTAAAAAGAAGGGTAATAGACATAAGTGTGGTGGAAAAAGAGTAGTAATATGGAGGACAAATAGGGTTTTATTGGCTGTGACAAATCACAATGAGTGAATGCATCTGCGCCATCACTGAGAACGACTTTGAGCTGTATCACAGTTATTTCCAGCTTCCATTGGTTCTTACCATCCTAATAACTCAAACCAGGAAGTCTACATCTCCCTACATGGCTTAAACTAACTGTTGTGGATTTCATTGACTGATGAAGCCATGTTTTTGTTTGACCACCAGTAGCTCTTCGCCAACCACATCGACCCTATGTCAGCTAACATTACCCGTCGTTGAGGAAGGCGATGGCTTGATGTGCATGCTTAACACATTCTAACCGTCTCAATCGGTGTATTTTCACATCCTCGTCTATTGATTTCCCTTCCTTACCTAGCACTCGCCGCCTAACTTTAATATTAATAACCATATTATACCACTTAACAGAGGGATAGAATGCAAACATGTGGTCAAAAACAACTGGCCTGTTCATTATCTTCCACTCTCAACGGCCGTCTCACAGCCACAAAGGAGGACAGTGCGGACTGTTGAGCATTACACACGCTCTTTGGTCGACAGCTGTCTCAATACCACGTCCACTAAGCCAGAGATGTATCCGTACTCAGATTTCGTCAGCAACCCGCTGGCGTTGGCTGATGCAACTTCCCGAATAAATGAAGTGGTCAACACGCCCAGCCACCATTTCACTCCCTATCTTTAAGTTAGGAGAGAGTCGATGTAGTCCAGTCCTGTAGCATCATCTTACTTTTGTCGGGACTGAATCGCGTGTCAAACATTCGAAGATTGCTGCTTCTCAAGGTGTTCAGAAGACTCTGCTATACTTTGTCAGCGTTTCACCTAGGAGGGAGGACTACATCATCTGCATACTCTTAGTCACCGTGATTATTCCTCGGTAGTCACAAAATAATCCCTTAATCGCTGAATTCAGTTAAGTTCATTAGTGCATCTATGATGAAATTAAACAGAAATGGGGAAAGTGGGCATCCCTGACGGACACCACTGGTTGTCATCACAGCTGTCAGATGACTCTCCGTAAGCTTTCACCTGCCTGGCTGCCTGAGTTCGAGTGGAGTACCCAAAATTACTACCCTCTTGTTCATCCTTGAAGTGCTGCCTTCTCTGCTTCTTCAGCTAGCTGGTTGATTTCCGCTTGCAGATTTTTACAAGTTTTTCTGATATTAGACACAAATCATCTTGAAGTCCAGGTCTCTAGAGTCTTTTGTTGTTGGTTCAGCATATTCCTGTCTTCTTACACTCCCACGGTCTGCTGTATGATAGTCGACCTTAATCGGGAATATCATCAGTGATAGTAGGCAACAGCCTTGTTTTACTCTTGTCTTCCTTTGACACCCCTGTTCCCCAGCAGTGATAGAGCACGTTGACCGCTTCACTTATTTGAGAAGTACCATCAGCCAACGCTAACAGGCTGATCTCTGACGAAATCTCAGCACGGATACAGAGGACTAGTTTTGCATATATCAGTTTACGCCGTCTCTGGCTTAGTAGACGTGATATCCGATTGGCTATCGACCAAAGGGTGGGTGTACTGCTCATCAGTCCACTCCTTCCTCCTTTATGGCTGACTGTGAGACCTGGCCATTGAGAGTGGAAGACATGAAAAGACTAGCTGTCTTCGAACATAGGTGCCTGCGTTCTATCTCCCGTGTGAAGTGGTATAATAAGGTGAGCAATATTCAGGTTAGGCCTCAGTCGAGTGCTAGTTGGTAAGGAGGGGAAATCAATCGATGAGGCTGTGAAATTACATCGACTGAGATGGTTAAGGCATGTGTTATGTATGCATACCTAGTCATCGCCTCTCTCGACTGACAGGAAGTGTTAGTTGACATAGGGTCAGGCTGGAAAACAGCTAGCACGTTGTGGTCAAACCAAAACATGGGTTCACCAGTCAATGAAATCCACAACAGCTAGTTTAAGCCAGCCAGCCACGTAGAAAGGTGTAGACTTCCTGACTTGTTGGGGTCCTCAGACGGTAAAACCAATGGTTGGAAACAATTGGTAATATGGCTGAAAATGGTTCCTAATGGCTAGTGCAGATGCATCCACTCCTTGTGACTTATGATTTCCAATGAAACCATATTGTTCTTCGTTATTACTATTCCTTTTGTCTCACACTTCTGTTTACTGTCTCTATTATGCATTTCTAGTACTTTCTTGTCTTGGTTTGTGTGCTACATGGAGTGAGTGTGACGACTTGAAGTGGTGTACATCGGTGGAAAGTTCTATGTCGAAAACAGACAGACTTTGAGTGTACTTATTTTTTATAATGACTGTTTACATACACTCTCATAACTTTTAATTTTGGTAGTATTTTGAGCACACTGCTACTCACATGTTCACCATAAGCTTGTTGAAAGTTCCGTAGGATTTTTTCCAATTTTTGTTGTCTTTTCATGTCTTTTATTCATGCTGTCAATGACTTTAAATTAAAAAGAAAAAAGCCAGACAGCGGGTGTAACCCGGTGTAGTGATATTGCCCTAAGTGCTTACCAAAAAACAAGCAAACTTACAATTGTGTGTGTGTGTGTGTAAACGCCCAATACAAATACACTTATGAAAGTCTGATCTATTCCGCACTGTATATAAATAATTCCTAAACATTTTGTTTTAATTTTATTATTTCTACTTTGTGTATATTATCATGCTCAGATCAGCTAGTAATATGGATGGTGATTACAAAGTGACAACTAGTGAAGAAAATCGTGATTCAATAGTAGTTGCACCGAGAACTTTTGGTTTGGATAATTACAATTCTATGGGGAATATGATAAATGGATCAGCAGAATCGGTCAGTAGTAATAATAAACAGAGCCACCATACTTGTGGAATAGTGTTGGGCAAAAATGATAAAGTGAATGAAGAAGACTATTCATGCGATTGTCTAACTCAGCTGCCTGAAGAATTTCCACAAGAACGTCATGCTCAGCCTAGTTTATCTACATCAGGCACTAATACATCATCTTTGGAGTTTAGTAATCGTATACAATCAAGACTAGCTCAAGGCGGTTTCCTGCTTCAGAATGAACAATTTAGTGGTGGTAGTGTTGGTGGCGGCGGAGGTTCTTTAGTTCGACGATTGTATAGTGTTCCAGGGGCAGCTAGTGATGGTCTACCATTGCATTTAACGCCTGGTTCAAGTATGTATGCTGATGTAGCTCCTGTTATCCAGGAGGTTGAAGTAGCCGCTGAAGCACATTTGGAATCAGCAGCTGTAGAATTTCAACGGGTTCAAATCTGTGGTGATGATACTCTTGGGGTAAGTAGTAAGCTTATACTATTTTGTTTTCGAATAGGTTAATAGTTTTCAAGTTTTCAAATTTAAATAATTAGCGGTTTGCTAGTGTGTGTGTATATACATTGTGATTTTAAGGATTAGGATTTGGCTGTAGACTTGTTCCATCCAGGGGTACAGCACATTGGTTTAAGCTTCTGATTCTCAAATCCTGGATCGTGGGTTCAACACCTCCGTCTTAGTTTAGTGCCTTGTCCTAACCCCCACAAAGGTTTAGATGGCTAATGTATGTCATTACGGCTTATAAAAACGTGTTAGTCATAACCAAGTTTCCTAGAATGTTAGGATGGATAAGCTTTTCTCTGGCCGTCAAGTCATGATATTTGCATCTATTGACATGATTTGTTTATTTATGGCTTAACTTTCTGAGGTTCACTGGACTATAAAGTACCATCCATTTTGTTACCGTTGTGTTGTTGTTGACTCGGTGGTTGCTTTTTTAAAGTCTCATTTCAGTGTTTATCTCCGTGTTGGAGATAACTTCAATTTATCAGTTAGTTATAGTGTTCTGTTCTTTCAAGGGGGGGGGTCCAGTCAATGCAGTATCCCTCAGTCATGTTGTAGAACAACGGCAACAAGTTTGGTTACAGGATTTCATCATGAGGTGACATTGGTTAGAGAACCATTGGAAAACCTGCTGGGAGTACTGGACAGCTGTTTCGTCCTAGTTTGGGACTCTTGATCAGTACGCACCCACCACAGGGGTTCGAACCGAAGACTTTCTGGTTGCAAGGCCAGCGAGCTCGTAGACCATTAAGCCACTGGGAACTGATCCAATGGCCAGCCCATGCATAAATTCTAACTTCTGCCAATTCGCGACATAGCGCGACTGTTAACCAATGTCTTCGGCGAGTATTTGTCCTCACACCCGACCTCCTGCACCCTACAACAAGTCGCTTAGAATATATGAGTGACTCATTTCAACGTATGAAAGAGAGCGTTATTCAACAACTATGTGTGTATATTAACATACCTGTTAATAAGCTGTACATTATTGTGGGGAAGGTGATGATCCAGTGTTGCTTGCCAATCATTACTAGTTGAATTACCCACTACAGTCCTACAGGAAGTCAATCGTGAGCCCGAATAGCTCAGTGGTAACGTCTCTGACTGCAGGCGGCACTGAGTGACTCGGGTTCGAATCTCAGAAGGGACATGAGTTACTTCAGGGTTTTAGATGACGCCTTGCTGATGAGTGTCAACTAGCACGAAACCTAGGTGAAACAGGGCTTCCTTTGGCCGATTGCCTCCAACCATCTTCTAATATCATCAATGTGCATTATGATGGCGAGCTACCTAGAATGGTAGCCACATATTGCAAAACCCGACTTATAGAATTCAATCTGCACCAAAGAAAGGACTAGCCAGATACATCACACTAGTTACTAGTGTCCAATCAAAAAATTTGATTGCGCTAACCAATTGTGGAGCTAGTTACTCTTGAGCTTGATTCCCTTTGAAACTGTTATTCTCATTCCTATTTTACTTTTCGTCACCTTCAAGATGACATCCAGATATCACATGTAACAAGTTGAACCATAGAATAGTAATTCTAGATCCTGTCTGTGTGTTAATCCAGTCTCTGTTTATCTTTCTCAGATCTGATGAAATGCTAACTGAGGTATTTATGTGGACCATAAATATAAATTTTTTCAAACACTTATAAGACGTAATATTACGATTAAACGTAAAATCTTGGTGAAGGAACATAAGTGGGTCAACAAAGTGCGCGGGAGGTGGGTGTTCACCAATTGTACTCGGATACGTATTACACACAATCAAGCCACCACCTTCCTCTAAAAGTGAGCGTTGGTCAAACCAAAATATGAAGACAGTCTATGAAACCTGTCTTGGTCTGAGTTACGTGAGCACATATAGACAGGGGTTTCAAGAGGTAGTTTGTAGGGATTTGACTTGTTTCTAATTGTGACCACACATCGAAATTAATTAGGGAACCATTGAAAACCACGGGGTACTGGACATGTGGTTCGACCTAGTTTGAAACTCTGCATCAGTTCTCACTCATGACCTCCTCACTGTGGATTGAACCTAATCGCCTTCAGATTACTACGCGAACATATCGACCATTCAACCACTGGGGTGGGGCGGTGGAATCCAATGGTTCGATTCGCGACTCTAGCCAGCCTGTATCATCGACGAGTATTTGTCATCACACCTGATCTGGTGAACCCCACTAGTCGCGCTTTTTTCACTAGGCCTGAAGGCAATTTCATCCCGTAGTCAGACTGTTTAGATTGAGCTCCTTAGGATGCTCAGAATCAGTGGTTGCATATGTGGTTTAAGATCTTCAGCAGTGGTTCAAAACATCTCCACTGGTCTTGTTGTACTCGTTCATCACATGCATGTTTGTCCACTACATTCTCTTATTTATGCGTAATTATGAATTACGGCTATTTGATCTGATGTACTAAGATCCTTTGTGAACGATTTCGATCTTAGTTTCAGTGTGTAAATTTAGTGTAAAAACGTAATTCCACATTAGTTTGTTTATTAGATTATATCACACAGTGAAACAGTATGAATTACTGGATGACGTTTCGAACACAATTCATTATTGCTGTTCATAATCATTCCATCAATTGTAATCACACGACTTTGAAATTTGAGTTTTATGGTTTTCTTTATTCTCTCCTATTTGTCTACGTTGGGGTAGTAGGATTTTCCAGATATCTGGGTGGACAGGTGTTGGATCATTCTTATTACATGTATTTGAAGTTGATTCGATAAACAAAGCTTCTGTTATCAATCTCTCCCTCCCTCCAGTCTGCTGCTACCTTAGATTTTGAAACTGTCATCTTATCCCATCCATCCTATTGTATGGTTGCGTGTAATGAGATGGCAGTTGTGAAGTCTAATGTAACAGCAGGGTGGAGAAAGAGATAATAATATTAATAACAATAATACTATTAATGACGACACCAACAATAAGGAATCTAATCATCAGTAGTAATTCCATACAAAGAAGGAACCTCAGTAATCTTACGCAGAATTCTTAACAAGGTAGGAATAAAAGTGGCTGGGATTTAAAACCCCACAAACTCAATTAGAAACAAGCTTTGTCGGTTAAAGTATAAATCCTGTGAAGCCAATTAAACAAAATAATTTAGTTTATCTAATACCTGCCTGCAATGATTGTCAGGTCAAATACATAGGTCAAACTCTTAGAACAGGTCAGTGAGTCAGACTAGCCGAGCATAAAAACCTAGCAAAATCTAGATTAGTTGACCCGAATAAAATAAGAAATCTAGAGAATAGTTCAGCTATAGCACACACAACCATACAATAGGATGAACGGGATAAGATGACAGTTTTAAAATCTAATGTCACAGCAGGGTGGAATGGAGATTGATAAAAGAAGCTTTGTTTATCAAATCAACTGCAAATACATGTAATAGGAATGATTGAACACCTGTCCACCCAGATATCTGGAAAATTCTACTACCCCAACGATGACAAATAGGAGAGGACAAAGAAAACTATAGAGCTCAAGTTTCGAAGTCGTGTGTTTACAATCGATGACATGATTATGAACACCAATAATGAATTGTGTTCGAAACTGCGTCATCCAGTTAAACAGTAATACTGTTTCACTCACTGTGTGTGATACATCTAATAAACAAACTAATATGGAATTCCATACTATCACAGTCCCCAAGTTTTACACATATATTAGCGTAAAAACGTATTTTATTTATTTATACATTTCCTCTCACTATCCAAAGAATATGGAGTGTCCTTGTTTTTTTTTTTCTCTTTTCTTTTTTCAATATGTGACTTATAACATCATAGTTCTTAGTATGATCTAGACAAATTTTGGTCATGTCATCTATGTGTGTGTGCTTTTTATGCGAGAATTCTTGCTTTGCATTAACTTGTGATCGTGTTAGTGCATACACTTGCTAGTGTAATCAATCAGTCAATCAGCTGATCAGTCATGTGTGTGATTTCAATCTTGTCTTACATTTTGAAGATGGCTGACGACTGCTAGTAGTTGATGCTGTTTGTCTTTACACTTTTCAGTTCACTGTGTAGAGTCGAGTAACTCCATTTTGTGTGCAGATTTAGTCTTATCTACTATTTGTAATTCCATTATGGGTAAAATTTGTTTTGATAAAGTCTCACGGTGGTGTTATACAGTGATGTTTAGTGATGACACCATTTCGAGTACAATTTATTACTGCTCATAATCATATCAACACACTACTCACACGACTTCCTAACTTCATTTATATAGTTCTATTATTTTTCACTTGATTTGATTGGTAGTAGTATTCTCCATATTTCGGGTATGAGTGATGAATCATTCCTATTGCATGTGTTTGGTGTAGACTCAATGAACCAGTCAGGATTCAGTAATCAACCTCTGTCTATCTCCATCTACCTAGATTACTTTTTAGAATTTTAATCCTCTCCCACCCTATTGTGTGGTTGTGTGTTGATGTATGGATTGCAATTGCTGAGCGTTTTTCTCGGGGTCAATCATTCTTACCTTAGCTAAATTCTTATATTCCGACAATATGACTACACGCGACCTACTAGTTTGACCTATGTAGTTGACCTAACTCACAGTCATTGCAGGGTATTTTGTAAATTATATTATTTTGTCTAAATGGGTCCACTAACAGGGTCCTTTAGCCTACAGAGCTTGTCTTACCTGAGTGAGTTTGTAGGTTTGAATGCCACCACCAGCCTAATTCCTGCTTTATTGAGTAATCCTACGTAGGGTCTCAGATGTCCTCTCCTTATATGGTATAACAGTTTGTGCCTTATATTCTCTCTTATTTATGTTATTATAACTAGTTTCACAATTATTTTTATTTTTTTGGCCTTTTTCGATCTTCCTAATGAATTTTATAGGATAGTTATTTAACACCAACGCCTCTTCTATCCGTTTTATTTCATAATTTAGGTCTTTTCTTATGCTACTTAGTGCTAATGCTCGGTTTGTTAGACACTTCACTAAGCCTACCTTAACAGACAAATAACGGATGAGATGAACTAAAGTCTAAATATCTATATATATATATATATTTTATATAAACGCTAGTGTGCAGTTTACCTTCTTCTATTCGTTTTATTTTACACTCTACCATCACAGCTAATTTTCCTTGTTCATTTTCCGATACAAATGTGAATTTTATTCCCTCCACTAGTAAGTGAGTTTATGTGTGTCAAAAAGCTCTAAACGTGGTCATCAGTAAACATTACTGTATAACACCACTGTGAGACTTTGTCAAAACAAATTTTACCCATAATGGAATTACCCTGTACCACCACAGTGTACAAGTTTTATTCTTGTAATTCCGTATTAGATAAGTTGATTTTTTTTAAAGATCACACAGACAGTGATGGTGCAGATAAGGTTTTGAGCAACAATTTTATTGCTACTCATTATCATATCAATTTTATTAAGTGTTAAAGTGATTTTGCAGAGATGTGATTGGTTTCAGGATTTCCATCATGATATCAGTTCATGATGATAGAAATTTTAGTCACACGTTTTCACAATTTGTCTTATATGTTTATATATTTTTCTCTCTATTCTGCCTCTCCAATATCCCTTTGTTGTTTGTTGGCACTTTCCATATCTCCGGTTCAAGGTGTGTTACGTTATTCTGATTGTATGTGTGAGGTGAGGTATTGAATCGATAAACAAAGCTTCAGTTTGTCTGTCTGTCTGTCTGTTTTCGACATAGAACTTTCCACTGATGTGCAACAGTTCAAGTCGCCACACTCCATGTACCACACAAACCAAGAGAATAAAGTAGAAGAAATGCATAATAGCGATAGTAAGATGAGGTGTGAGACAAAAGAATAGTAATAACGAAGAACAATATAGTTTTATTGAGTATTATAAGTCACAAGGAGTGGATGCATCTGCTCAGCCAGCCATTGAGGACGATCACTTTGAGCCATATCACCACCAATTGTCTACAGCCATTGGTTTTTATCGTCCCGAGGACCCCATCAGGAAGCCAGTCCACACTTCCTACGTGTCCGGTAGGCTTAAACTAACTGTTTCGGGTTTCATAGACTGGTGCCATGTTTTGGGTTGACCACATTGTGCTAGCTCTTTTCCAGCCTAAACCTATGTCAGCTAACACTGCCCGTCAGTCGAGGAAGGCGATGGCTAGGCGTGCATGCGAAACACATATCTTAACCATCTCAGTCGATGTAATTCACAGCCTCGTCGATTGATTTCCCCTCCCACCTACCTACCACTCGACTCAGGCGTAACCTCAATATTGCTCACCCTTTTATATCAGTTCCCACGGGAGATAGAACGCAGCACCTATGTTCGAAGACAGATAATCTTTTCATGTCTTCCACTCTCAATGGCTAGGTCTCACTCACAGTGATAAAGGAGGACAGAGTAGACTGATGAGCAGTACACCTGCGCTTTGGTCGATTACCAGCCGGATATCACCTCTACGCCATCTCACATAGTGATATATTACTCTAAGTACATAAGTTCCTCATTTCCAAACAGAACACTGTATTATCTATTCTAATCTATTGAAAATTACACTCATCATTATAAATAATAGCAAGGATTCTGATGGAATCTTTTTTCTAGGCATATGTGTTCAGCTAATGCATACTTCAGACATCTGGTTCTCCTGATAATAATAATTAACAAAATTGTGAATAGTGAAGTAATCATCACAAGCATAAATTAACACAGAAAAATCAGGGGTTTTCTTTATCGGCTAGTATACACTAAATATAGTAGCAAACTAAATATTGATTGCTGATGAATATATGTTGTCTATTATCAAAAGTATAGAATTGGTGATTACTAAATTTCACTACTTCTTACAACAGCGCGAAAATAAAAACAGCCTGGTTTATTGATTTATAGCCAGTTGGTCTAGAGAGCTGTGGGTAAGCTGTGGTTTATTAGACAGTCGGTCGTTCGTTGGAACACAAACTTGCTACATTATGAGCAGCAAGAGACGTGCAAGGTCTGGGGAACTTGCCCAGTCACCCATACTGAATCGAATGGTTGTCTTAAGAAGCTACCCTCCTCCAAGCTTTTGGCTTGCAGTTTGATTCACAAGGTAGTGAGGCAGCGTCAGGAGCTACGTTCCAATGGTTTCCTGTGACCAAATTAAGGTGGCTAAGACACGCGTTACACATACTCCTGTTCATCGGCTTTCTCGATGGGCAACGTTTAATATCATAGGATCAGGTTGGTAAAAAGCTAGTGGTGATCAAACCGCCGAAACAAATGGTGTATCAGTCCATGAAATTATTGTCAATTAGCTTAAGCAACTTAGGGAGGTGCAGACTGTCTGGTCAAGGTCTTCGAGATTCTAAGAACCAATAAAGGCTGGAGACAGTTGGTGGTGATATAGCTCAAAATCGTTCTTAGGAATAGCGCAGATGCATTCACTCTTTGTGATTAATAGTATCCAATAAAACGTTATTGCACACACTTTTGTTTATTGTCTCTCTTTTGTTGAATTTCTCTCTCTCTCTCCACTGCCTTCTCTTGCTTTGTGTGCTACATAGAGGGAGTGTGGCGACTGGAACTGCTGCTCATCTCTGCAAAGTTCTACACTGAAAGCAGTCAGTCAGTCAGATGATGGGAACAGGTTCATACACATACATGTCAAGCCCATGTACATTTGTTTTAATTCCGGGTTTTTCAGTTCGCCTACTGCTCGGCAGTCCTCTCCGTCCTCCTTTGTGGTTGTGAACGAGACCTGGCCATTGAGAGTGGAAGACATAAAAAGATTATCTGTCTCCGAACATAGGTGCCTGCGTTCTATCTCCCGTGGGAACTGATATAAAATAATAATTAATAATAATAATTTTTCCTTCACGTTCCCAGTGGAACATAGGGCTCCAAGCTAGTGCTTGAAGTTTCTGTAGCAGTGTTTAACTTTTACAGGATGGGGTTGCTAGCCTCATGCCCAACCTTTCCTCTTTACCAGCATTATTTCTGGCTGAGTGAGGTAAAGGAGTGCGCCGGCCGGGGATCGAACCCCGGACCATATGCATGGTCGCGAGCGTCCTAACCGCCATACCACCGACGCAATATTGAGCAATATTGAGGTTACGCCTGAGTCAAGTGGTAAGTAGGTGGGAGGGGAAATCAATCGACGAGGCTGTGAAGCTACATCGACTGAGATGGTTAAGGCATGTGTTATGTATGCACACCTAGCCATCGCCTTCCTCGACTGATGAGCAATGTTAGCTGACATAGGTTCAGGCTGGAAAAGAGACAGCGAGTGGTGATCAAATTAAAACATGGCTTTTTCATCAGTCAATGAAATCCACAACAGTTAGTTTAAGCTGGCCGGTCACGTAGGAAGGTGTAGACTTCTTGGCTGGTTGGGGTCCTTGGGACGGTGAAAAACAATGGCTAGAGACAATTGGTGATATGCCTCAAAGTGATCGTTCTCAATGGCTGGCTTGGAGCAGATGCATCCACTCCTTGTGACTTATGATTTTCAATGAAACAGGTTTTTTCTTCGTTATTACTGTTCCTTTGTCTCACACCTCTGTTTACTGTCTCCATTATGCATTTCTTCTACTTTGTTATCTTGGTTTGTGTGCTACGTGGAGTGTGGCGACTTAAAGTGGTACACATCAGTGGAAAGTTCTATGTCGAAAACAGACAGTCAGACAGTTCTCCTAGATATAGACCTACATGTCTATCATCAATCCAGTTGGAATCTCCAGACATTCACATGTTTACCCTTTCATAATCATCTTGTGAGGGCATACCCCTTCCACGTGAAATCGACGAATAGATTTAAAATTTCCAAATGTCTACTGATGAATTTTTCATTTTTGCAGCACTTGATATAAAAAAGATTTCCTTGCTAAGTAAAGTCAATTTACAATCATTCATTCATTATTCTTACATCTTTTCTAAAATAGCTGTCTACAATTCATCCACATACCTCTGGAAATTCCTTCGGTCAACAGTGTATCGTACAGGTGTCCATTTTAAACATTTTGTTTTCTCTCCTGAGAAATATTTTTGACATGTTACACAGAAGATTTCTTCACCATTACTGTCTGGAATGTCTGGAATGGTGTTTTATTCCAGCGCACTTACATAACTAAACTTTCGCCAAAATAATTGAACCAAACTCATATTTTTCTTCAGCGTTTTTTTTTTGGTGGGTAGTCTGTTGAAGTTGTTGATCTGTGTTGAGCAGTTTTCTTCAATTGACACGAGTATTAATTAGTCTGAAATACTAATAGACGTGTGTGTGTTGTCAGATTATTGATGTTGTTGTTGTCGTCGTCTAATTCACTAGTGTGTCTACTAATCTGAGCGTTAAACAATTTTTACTTACTAACTATTCGAACAAAGCAAGAACAACACACAGTATGGTTTGTGTAGAATAAGAACATGGTACCATCATTATTGTCTATTTCACTGGCTTCTCATCAGCTCAGCTGTCGCTTACAGCCTAAATGAATCATTATTAAGTTCATATACAGAAAAGTTTTAACATACTTGCAAATTTTTTTTCTTCATGATGTCAGTTGACAGAAGGTGTTCCACAATGAGAGTGAACAGTGCTCAGAAAATTCCGCTTATATAGTTTTTACACCGTAGTTGAAGTTAAAAAAAATAAATGTATGCATACAATGTCATACAAAACGAAGACTTACATGCGAAAACCGACCGACAAACTGATTGAAGAAGCAGGTAGTGAAGACAGGACTCCAGGTGAACGTAGACAACTCGGAGTTATGAAAATAAATAACCAACTAACCAACAACAACAACAACAGCAACATCCACCGCCAGTCACCATTAACGGGAGGGATTTGAAAGAGGTTACTTCATTCACTTATTATCTAGGGAGCATTGTCTCAACTACAGGCCACAGGAGCGAACGAGGATGTCAAATTGAGCGAGAATCGAGAAGGCGAGAAACACACACATTCATCAACCAACTGAAACCAATCTGGAAATCTTCGTCACTCAGCCAGCCAGCATCAACAACAAAATTCAGTCGGATTTTCAATATAAACGTCAAGTCAGTCAGTTCTTCTATACGAAACGGATGAGAAACTTGGCGGGCGGGTCACAAAGAATATTTCCAACAGCCTGTTGCAGACGGCACCTTTATCAACAACTATCTTCGCTCTATACTGAAGATCAGATGACCTGGCTGGAGAAAATCACCAACTATGGGAAACTATGGGAACAAACAAACAAAACAAGGAGCAATCGCTCAACAAATATACAGGAGAAAGTGGATTGGACACTCGTGGCTGAAGAGGCATCGCGGTGGGTCACATCGCGCGCGAGTCAGGCCATTGATCGAGTGGGACCAGGTCGAAAGAGAAGCGGCGAGTGGGACGTCAGTGAAAGGGTGACATGGAGGAGATCGTGTGAATCGGAGGAGGAGTTGAAACAGTATGGACTAACGTGGATGAAGGTGAAAAGTACAGCAGAAGGAAGACAGAAGTGGCAAGTGGAGACGTGCAGCTGAAGCCGTATGTTCCACTAGGAACCCAAGGGAACAATAATAAATAATAATAAAATGGTAAAGGAGTTGTGTAATAAAGACGAGAGATGCGTGAGATGCAGAGTGACTAATAAATTAGGTAACAATGTACCGAGTTCAACTCAAATCATACAAACAAGAGACAAGCAAAATTAGAAATTATAAAAGGGAGGGGGGTGAGGTTAAAGCCAAAGATTACGTAATCAAATGAGAGATAATGAAGACATACAATTACCAAGGCAAGGAAAGATTAATAACTGCTTCTTTCTGAACACATAAATATGGTTTCAAGCATTTGATAGAAATTACTTCGGCACACTTGAGGAGAGTCAAACTCCTTTGTCTGTCGATAAATCCTGGCGAAATCCTTTAAAGTTATCAAAAGACAAAGGAGCTCGACTCTTCTCAAGTTTGCCGAAGTAATTTCTATCCTCTGTTAGTCCTCTGATAGTCAAAGTTATCATTTCATACTTCACTGTATATATTCTGATATCATTGATGCATCGTATTTTTATTGTCTGGCAGTAATGCCAAACACAACACTATGGATAGGTGTGTGCGTGTAGTGCTCTACTGACAAAGGTGTTTGTGTGTGTGGTGATCACCATGTGTGTGTGTGTGTGTGTGTGTACTAGTTTGTTAGAAGCAAGAAACATTAATTTCAGACATCTAGCTGGTGTTTTTTGTTTTTTTTGGCAAAGGTAACTATTAAGGCTATTTCTACTACTACTACTACTACTACTACTACTACTACTACTACTACTACTACTACTACTACTACTACTACTACTACTACTACTACTACTACTACTACTACTACTACTACTACCCCGACTATTGCTACCATATTTATGTGATATAACATATTTCAGTCGTATCACGTGCTGCTGGACTTGATGTGATTTATGACGCTAAAAACAGACTATTCATGCGAAGACCCTTAAATCAAACAAACATACATACTTTTTCGTTTTTAATTAGGTGTTCATTTTGTGTGTGTGTTTGTGTGTTTTCACACCTTCTAGGTTACTTGTATTGGAACTGATTGTTTCTGTGACTTGAACTTTGACCCTTTGTGTGTGAAGTTTCTTTCTTATTGGTTGATAAATTTTGTCCATCCCTGTGTCTATTGATTGATGATTCACTGGAATGCCAAGCTTCTAAAAATTCTCTAGCATTCTTGTTGTTTCCTCTGTCTAATATTTGAACGTAGTTGTCCTAGTCGAATTGATGTCCGTGGTTGTCTGTGTGCAGTGAAATGAGGGAGTGGATATCATGTCTTTTGACGGCTAGCTTATGATCGTGGATACGAAGACGAAGGGAACGTCCACTTTGGCCAATGTAGTGTTTTTCACAGTTGTTACAGTTTATTTTGTAGATGATGTTGGTTTTGTCTTCTTTCGCTGTTGAGTCTTTTGTTTGACATAGAATTGAGTGCAGCGACTTTGTTGGTTTGTGTACGACATCAATTCCTAAAGGTTTGAAGAGTCGTGTAGTGATTTCTGAGATATCCTTTATATATGGTAAGGCGATTTTCTTTGTGTTTTCCTTGGTGGCTTTTGTTTTGGTAGGTTGGCTTGGGGCTACACTCCCTCATTTCACTACACACAGACAACCACGGACATCAATTCGACTGGGACAACGTTCAAATATTAGACAAAGGAAATAACAAGAATGCTAGAGAATTTTCAGAAGCTTGGCATTCCAGTGAATCATCAATCAATAGACACATCGGGATAGACAAAATTTATCAACTGATAAGAAAGAAACTTCACACACAAAGGGTCAAAGTTCAAGTCACAGAAACAATCAGTTCCAATACAAGTAACCTAGAAGGTGTGAAAACATACACAAACAACCAATCACGTCCAAGGTCACCAGGAGGAATGATTAATAAACTCGTGGAGAAACCTAAAAGCTCACTTCAAATTGAAGTATGCGCTGAAGATGTCACCCAGTAGGGCGATGAAAGCTTCGCAAACTAACCATCCAGCTCAGAGAACAAAACCACATCAAAATTATTCACCTGAGTTACAAATCTTCTCTATCATATTAATATCATCAAATCAATGTGCACCGTGATGGCGAGTTACCTAGAATGGTGGTGGCCACATTACAACCTGACTGATAGAATTCAGTCTGCACCAAAGAAAGGACTAGCCAGACACATCACACTAGTGTTACTAGTGTCAAATCAAAATATCTACTACAGTCCTGCAGGAGGTTAATCGCGAGCCCGAATAGCTCAGTGGTAACGTCTCTGACTGCAGGCGGCACTGGTTGGCGCGGTTCGAATCTCAGAAAGGAGGGATATGAGTTCCTTCAAGGTTTCAAATACGTCTTTCTGACTGGTGTGAGTGCCAACTAGCACAAAACCTAGGTACAACCAAGGCTTCCTGTGGCCGATTACCTCCAACCATCTAATATCATTAATTAGCACTCTATATACTGATAGTTTCAATTGTAAGTATGCGAATACTTGAAGTAGGTTAACGAATATAATGCAGTTACCCATATTAATTATATTATTATTTTCTCGGGTTCCGAGTGGAAATTATAGGACTGGCTTCAATAACACATCATCATCTTCACTTTCTTCCATTTTCTGCACTCCTCTTCACCTGGCTAGCTACACGATTGCGCATATTTTCTTATCTTTTATTCACACGATCTCCTCCATGTCGCCCTAGGACAACCCATTTCCATTCGGATTCGGGCGATGGCCTGCATTGAATGCGATTTCATTCGATGGCCTCCTCAATGTATGTCCGATCAATCCGTCTCCATTTCCTCCTCCTACATATTTGTTGAGCGGTCGGCTCTCGCCTTTGGGTTTGTTCCCAGCCAGAGTTCCCTGTAGCTAATTCTTTCTGGCCGGTCGGCCATTTGATCTTCAGTATGCAGCCAGCTAGCGAAGGTGGCAGCTGTTGATAAAAGTCTTCAGCGTGTTGGAAATCCTTTTTTTGACGCGCACTGCAAGTTTCTGACCCGTATAGAAGCACTGACCGACTTGACATCGGCTTTGAAAATGTGAATTTTGTTCCTTATGCTGGGTGTAGCAAATTTCAAACATTGCCCATTGTCGAGAAGGCGATGATGACTAGGCATGCATACGTAACACATGTCCTAACCATCTCAGTTGATGTAATTTCACAACCTCGTCGTTTGATTTCCCCTCCCTCCTTACTACCAACTAGCACTCGACTAGGCCTAACCTCAATATTGCTCCCCTTATTATACCACTTGACACGGGAGATAGAACACAGGCACCTATGATCAAAGACAGCTAGCTAGCCTTTTCATGTCTTCTACTCGCAATGGCCTGGTCTCACAGTCAGAGATGGCGTAAACTGGCATATGGGAACTAGCATGTATTTTTTTCAACAGATTGATTACCTTCAATTGTTACTCAAAAAAATTAATATTCCTGCATGGATCACAGTCCTTTCTTATTTTTGTTTTACCCAAG